ATATGGTGCTGGGGGATTGAACCGCAGTCCCTGTGCTTTGCCAAGCTTGTTCCAAGTAGGTGCTTTAGACCACTGAGCCATCTTGCCAGCCCCTGTATTCATATTTTAATATGTGGTTTTGAATCTCTTCTCCCTCATTCTGTACGTGTCAGGCCCATAGATCCTGAATCTGCCCATGGTGAATGTACACTTAGATCCATACCTGTACTGTGCCTCTTTCAGCACCTGCCTTGCCTTTCTCTCCTTCCTTCCCTCCCTCCCTCTCTTTTTTCCTTCCTTCCTTCCTTCCTTCCTTCCTTCCTTCCTTCCTTCCTTCCTTCTTTCCTTCCTTCTTCTTTTCTTCCTTCCTTCCTTCCTCCCCATCTTCCTGTCTAGGAAAGGAGCATAGCTATGATGACATTCAGGATTTTGGGGCATCCCATTTACATTTGGGAACAGTCAGGAATGGAGGCTAGAAGCTGGGCAAGGGTGGTCCTGGGACTGGGGCTTTGTGGCACCCACACTGGCAGCTTCTGCCATTCTGTGGGCATCTGTGTGGTGTGTGGTATAGTGCTGTGTGCACACCTGTCATGGTAGGAAGCACATTCGCCCCACCCTGTGCTTCTAGGGAACCTGTGTGTGCTGCGGTTGTAGCTGGAAGTGCTATAGCTAATGAGGTCCCTTGGCCAGGGAATCCCCAGGGGCCAGCCTCAAAGACATAGCCAGCTGCTTGTTGCCAGAAGCCTGGCAGGGAGGGATGATGTTACCCTTGGGAGGCCTTGCAGGACTGCCTGGCTGAGGCTGGGGCTTCTGCAAGTTCTTCTCAGGTGCTTTTGCAGATGCAGGATTTCTGGTCCCTGGGGCCATCACCCAGTCACTACTGTGAACCAGCTCCTTGGCGTGGGTTAACCATGTAAGCAGACATGGCTAGAACGAGGCACCAGGTTTCCATGGTGATGGGTTGCCATGGTGACATGAGTGCTCCCAGTCCACAAGACCTTTTTGCAGGTAGCACTGGGAACAAAAAGCAGGTTCCCAGAGGGCTGGAGGAAGCTTTAGTTATTCTCTTCTAATTTCTTACATTGTAGAACAAATCACTGGTGTATTAGCTCTCCATTACTATAACAAATATCTGAGATCATCAGCTTATAAAAAGAAAATGTTTATTTTGGCTTACAGTTGTGGAGGTTCAGGCCTTGTTCTGAAGTTTTGGGCCTTCACTGAGGCAGTGGAAGTAAAATTGCTCATCTCATGACCAGAAATTAAAGGGGGGATAGGGATTCTGTATTCCTTTTCAAGGCCACACCCCCATGACCTCACTTCCATCCCACAGGCTCCCAGTAGTGCCACAGATCAAGTCTTTGCAAATATCGGATCGATCTATGCATATATTATTTAGCATTCTATAGATAATATTGTATGCCTTTCAGAAGAAGTGTTATATTTGTAATTTTTTTTCTGTCTTTCTTAGTCACTTTCTTGTCATCAAGACACACTACAGAACACAATTTAAAGGACAAGAGATTTATTGCAGCTCACACTTTTAGTCTATAGTTGCCTGGCTCAGTCAGGAAGGCATGGTGGTAGGGATGGTGGAGGAGAGCTGTTCAAGGCAGGGCAGCAGGGAAGCCAAGAGAGTGAAGAGAGGGTGAGAAAGCCTTCCAGGCCACACCCCCAGGAACATGACTCTTCTGAGGCCTCCTAACAGCAAGACAGCCTTCAGCCCCCATAACCCAGTCACCTCCAAAACCCTTAGGAGCTGATGAGGCTGTAGTGGATATCTAGACACAAATCATAATGCTTTCTTTTCCTGTCAGTGCTAGAAATTGAACCTAAAGAGGGCTGAGTGCTTTGGGGTTTTAAAACAAAATTTCAGGCTTATTGCTTGCACTAAACACTGGGCTCAAGGACATGCTAGAATGCTGTCACAGAAGCTCGCAAATTCAGTGGCTTCTAGCTTGAACATGCCAGAGCTTTGGTAGTTGGTCCAGGCTGGCGTGGCATTTTGAAGGTGTCCCCAAACCCTTCTGGCCCCCAGACCACTTCCCCACTTAGCCACCAAGAAGAAAAAACATCCAGTCTGAGCCACTGTTTTTGGCCTCCTCACTCCTAGCGTTCCCTCACTCTCTACTTCTCTCTCTCTCTCCCTCCCTCCCTCCCTTCCTTTTTCTCTTTTTTTTCTCTCTCTCTCCCTTCCCTCTCATGTTAGTAAATAATAACTTTTCCCTCTGTGGCTATCACTCACTCTGCCCACAACCCTGATCTTGAGGCAAGTTACTCATCCTTTTGTGCCTCTGTGCCTTCTTCTATAAAATGAGGGTGACCCATAGTTTGTTCTCTAGGATGTTTTAAGAATTCAATGAGCCTATTGTCATGACATGCCAATTACTGCTAAGATGTCTCTCGGGTAGGTGAATGTTCAAGAAGAAAGGGGTGGTAAATGAAAGCAAGAGACAGGAAAAGGAATATTGTGGGACTGTCCTGCTTCAAGGTTGTATATGGTTAGATTTTTGGACTTATGTGCAAACATGAGAAGCATAGAATTCTTTATCCTATTTTTAAAATATAATCTAATTTTTAAATGTTTTTTATCATATTATGTAGGGACTTAAAGTTCAACATATCAATACTTGATGAAAAATACCTGTTCCTTATTAAGCCTAAGATGTTTGAAATGCAGTGAGATAGTGAGGTTAAGCTTGATAGCCTAAATCGTTTGATAATAATAAGCTTTTCTTCTGGATGGTTAACAACCTAAGTTTGCAGACCAAAATTAGAGAAAAAGGAGGGCTACAAGGAAAGCCAACATTTTGGCCCTAGTCTTCTAAGGTCAATTAAGACTCAGGACATATGAGAACTTGTACTGTAACGTCATGTACCTCGGTAGTGTCCCAAATTTTCTGATCAAGAAGATTATGGGGCCAAAGAGGAAAGTGATCGATGACGTAGAGTGTGCCTAAGGAGAGTCACATGGGGAGAAAACACTCTCTCAGGCTTTCACAGAGAGCACATTGGCCAAGCAATGGCCGTGACTCATCCACATGGCTGACACTGACAAAGGTTCTACAATCTGAGGTACAGGATCTCAGGATAAATCCTGAGGGCATTTCACTGACCTTCTCAGACCAAAAAGTTACAACTCTTGTTGCACAGGTCCTGCTTTACCTTGGTCTTAACCATCCAGTAGAAAAGTATGAAGATGAAATATAGCAAATAAAGCCATGCTGTTAAGTTGAGCTGTGGGGGACTCAGGTCAATAATTTCTGACATTGCCAGTTAAACAGAAGACCCAATGCTATTATGGTCTACTGGACTCTTTTAGAATATTTTGCTGAGTTTACACACCTATAATATTCAATAACGGAACTTAGAAAAAATGAGGTATACCTATGAATGTCCATTTTGTATCTGTGTATTCAAAGTGGTTGGGATAGATATATAGTTGCATTCTCTTAATGAATAGAATGATTTGTTCTAATGGTGTTTGTAAATAGGCTCACAAGTCCGCATCTTGTACAGCAATTAACCACTAAGAAGAATATATGCAGTGTATTATTTGTTGAAACTGTACTTTCGATTTGATTTGAAACTGTCTCATTGCTATATGTTTATCAATAAAACTTTGAAAAAAAAAAAGAATTCAATGAGCCTAATGCTTTTAGAATGGAACCCCACAGGACAGGCACTGTCTCAATAACTGTTATTATTTCCTGCCTCTCTCAACATCCCTGTGAGCTAAGTAAGTAGTTATTACTTTATTTTTAGGTGCATCAATGGAATGGAAGGATTAGTCAGGCAGCTGTAATCCCAGCACGTTGGTAGGCTGAGGCAGGAGGACTGAGAGTTTGAATTCAGTCTGGGCTAGGCAATGAGTTCCAGGCCAGCCTAAAATACATAGGAAGAGACACAGCCTCAAAACAAACAAAATAACAGAAGAAAAAACTGGAAGGATCGTAAGAGCTGAAACAGCTTGCCTAAGGTCTCTGGCAGGTAGCCCGGTCTGAGTTGAACACACGCCTGGACCTCATGATAAAAGTGGGGCGATGTTGGCACCCCTTGTAGGGTTAAGATGTGAGACTCAAATGCATCGTACCCGCCAGGCACTTTTCAGACATCCTGTCCTTTCTTGTCCTCGAGGCCCCCGCCTGTCACCCAGCATCCCAGTAGCTCCGTCCCTGGCTGCCCTCTGGTCAGCTGCTTCTGCTTGGCCGGCCAGGACAGCTGGGCAGACAGAGCCCCATTGTCTGTGTCCTCTGGTCTCTTATTGTTGAGAATCCATCCCAAGTAACAGACCCATAGACACCCTCTAGAGGTCCTGGGCTTCATGGGGAAATTGGGACTGGGGTACACAGGCACCCCAGTGTACCTGAAGATTGGGTTAGCAGCCCTGTTCTACAGATGAGGAAACCGAGGGTCGGAGAACCCGTAGGACTTGTGGAGGACGTGCATGTCTCACAGCAGAGCTGCCAAGGATGGGATAGGTGGGGGCCAAACCCAAGGGGACTGTGTGACCCTAAGACAAGCGACGTCACAGTTCACATTACGCCAGAGACAGCAAGCCCAGAAAAAAAAAAACCAAAAAAACCCCATTGCTCCAACATTTTACTGATGGACCTACAAACTCAGAAAGTGCATCTGCCTGCCAAAGGTCACACAGCCAGTCTGGCTCCCCTCACCCCAAAGGAAAACTGGACGTTTCTCCCAGTCTCTCAGTTTCCTAGTTTCTAGTCAGTTTGGAAACGCGCAGAAAACAAGCTGGGAGTACAGGGCGGGGACATGGAGTGGTCACGCCCACGGGGCGGAACAACGCCGCACCTTCCTCCCCTGTGCTACGCGCCTTGATGAAGGGGCGTGGCTTTCAGAGTCCTGTGAGATCCACTGGATAATGTCTGCGGTGGGCGGGACTTTGAGCTTGATAGGCGTCGTGGGCAGAGCCTTCTTTTGGCGAGCTGGTAAGTGCGGGATTTAGTCCCTTTGTGACGCAGGCGCAGGGGCGGGAAAGGAGGGGCCTGCGCTCGGCCGGAGCTCCGCCCCCAGCGGAGGCGGCCGAGGCGGGGGCGTGTCTGGGGAGGGCCGGCCCGGCCCAAGCCCCGCCCCGCTCGGTCGCGGAGCGGCCGCCAGCGCTGGGAGGGCCAGGCCCCGGGATGTGAGTGCGACCGGGTGGGGGCAGGGGTGCTGATCCCGGGGTCCCGGGGGCCCCCGCGGGGTGCGGGTTCTGGAGGTGCCGGGGGTGGTGGGCGATGGGCGCCCCGCCGGATGCAGGGCCAACCACGATCTGGCGGGCGCTGGCGACCCTCGCGGCTCTCTGGCCTCTCTGCCCCAGATGCAGCCACCGCGCTGATGCCCGCAAGTCTCACAGTTGGGGATCCGAGGCCTGGGGCTACGCCGCCGCCGCTGTCGTTGTTGTCGTGCGGAGGTGTGCTGTTGGGGCCTTGTTGCCAGGCACACCTGGAATGTGACCTTGGGCACACCTGGTCCCCGGTGTCACGGGGGTGCCACGGCGGCCCCTGCTTCCCAGGGTGCTGAGAGTGAGCCAGGCCGGAGCTGGGTGCAGGGTAACCCGCCCGGGCCTAGCGAGGAGCTGTTTTGATTCTTGTTGCTGTTCATGGCCCATTTCTGAGGCAGAGGGAGTGAGCCGCCAGGGTCAGTGGAGGGGAAACAGCTTTCTCCCCCGAGGCCGCCCCCATCTGTGCCTCTGTCCCCATGCATCCCGAAGGCCACACACCACCCAGCTGTACCAGCATGTGCCAGAAACGCGCTGGCCCATCGTGTACTCGCCGCGCTACAATATCACCTTCATGGGCCTGGAGAAGCTGCACCCTTTCGACGCTGGCAAATGGGGCAAGGTGATCAGTTTCCTAAAAGGTAGGAAGGCCCCTCCCCTGCTTCCCCTAGCAACACTGATCCCTCCTGGGCATTCCGGGCCAGCATCAGCTGCAGATCCTCCTACCACAGCCTTTGGGCTCAGATTGCCTTCTGTGCCAGCTGTCTATCCAAGGATCTTCCCAACAGATTCCTCAGCATGGGGTGACCCTGCCTGTCACTAGTCCTGGTTCTGTCACTGTGCATAGAAGTCCTGACTCCATCCCCAGAGGCCCAAACAAGGGGGAGCCTGTGCCTGTGCAGAGCCTCGAGATAGTAGGGAGAGTTTGGGGCCCCCAAAATTTGGAAACTTGCCCAAAGCAGCAGGGCGGCTTCAGGTTCCCCATGCATGGTTAAATCCTCAGTGCTGCTCTGGGGAGCACAGGGTTCTGCTGTGGGTGGGAAGTTCAGATGTCTCTGTGTGGATGTCCTCCTTATTCCTTAAATCAGGGGCCCTTTAATTGAGAGAAGTAGAAAAGTATACCCAACGTTGGATGAAACACTGAATATTTTAAAAGCACAGCCACCTTCTGATCACACCATGAAGAGCTAGCTTATCTTTAACATCTGGAACAATTTTTCAACAGCTCCAGAGCCAGCCTCAGGCTCTGTGCCTGTCTCACAGTACATGGGATCAGATGGGAGACTGATAACACCAACTGTTTCCATTAAGTTTTTATTTTATTTTTAATTTTTTTAACATTTATTTATTCAGTGTGTGTGTGTGTGTGTGTGTGTGTGTGTGTGTGTGTGTGTCCAGCTCAGCCCACCAGAGGGCGTGGCTGGCGGATCGAACCGCGGTCCCTGTGCTTTGCCAAGCTTGTTCCAAGTAGGTGCTTTAGACCACTGAGCCATCTCTCCAGCCCCTAAGTTTTTATTTTATTTTTTAGGTATTTAGTACAGGATCTACAGAGTCTCACTACACAGATCGGACTGTAGTGATTCTCCTGTTTTTAGCCTCCCAAGAACTGGAATTACAGTCCCGCACCACCACACCAGTCTCAATCACTGTCTCAGTGGGTCCTGTGGGCTGGGCCAGCTGGGCACACTGGTCCCTGAGTCTTATTCTGCATAACTTAACTAATGGCAGGGAACACTGATTCTCCCTTTGCAGGAGTGACCAGAGTGAGCTTTCAAAGAGTAGAAAGTAGAGCATGCTGGGAGGCACCATAGGGGATAGCCTGGGGATGTGCATGTGGGACCTGCTGGCTTCCTATCACCAGTCCCTTGGCCTCTGGGTACCAGAGCATCACAGGCTGCTTTGTGCAGTGCCCTACACCATTGCCTGGTCTCAACCTCAGTTTCTTTTTTGTGCAGTGGAGCCAGACTTGTCTGGGGCAGCCAGACCCCCAGCAGTGCTAGGCAATAGTGTGGCATTTCTCCTGCTGTCCCCTTACACCATCTGTTTCTTTATGGACTGCACATTTTTTTTTTTTTTTTTTTGTGGAACCGGGAACTCAGGTCCTTGCGCTTGCCAGGGAAGCACTTATTCCACTGAGCCATCTCCCCAGCCCCTGGACTGCACATTTTTAATGACTTAGCCTCTGGGATTTTTTCTTTTAAAGCTTAAATTTAATTTGAAAGGGAACATTATGTTATTTAAGTGAGAAAAGGCAGTTTTACTTACCATAATTAGGTCATACTAAAATAATAATAATAATAATAATAATAATAATAATAATAATAATAATGGCATTGAAAACATCAGTGTAATTCAACCCTGACTGACTACTGTTGCCTGTAGGCCTTGAGACCTTCTCAGGCAATGATAGATGATCTATGATCGATGATTGGGTGGGGCACATATTGGGAGGCCACACCCTCCAAAGCCTCCCATGATGTCATCAGAAGGTGGAGAATTCCAAAGAAGGGATTTTTTTTCTTACCACAAGAGCCCCAATTATTGACTCTTGTGCCACCTGTCATGAGTGTTGAGCCCATGGCTGTCTGTGGCTTGGGAAACACGAGGGTTGCTGTGTGCCCAGAGTTTCATACCTCCTAAGCCAGCTGGTCTTACAGTTGCCCACAGTGGCCTGGTAGACAGCTTGTTGCCAGCACACAGCACCCACCTTCTCCTGGGCAGGGGCTGCCAACGCTGCAGGTGGGGCCAGGGTTGTGCTGGACCTGGCGACAGTGGGGCCAGCAGAAAGAAGCAGGATGCTTTGTGCTTGCAGAAGAGAAGCTGCTGTCAGACGGCATGCTGGTGGAGGCACGGGAGGCCTCGGATGATGACCTGTTGGTGGTGCACACCAGGCGATATCTCAATGAGCTGAAGGTATGGGCCTGTGGCCTGGGGACTTTGGGTGGGGGACAGAGCAGTTAACCCTGGGAAGCACAGCTGCAGGGGTGCCACTTTTGTCCCCAGAGTAAGGGGACTTAGGAATCTCTGTTTCCAAAGAGGAGGAGAAAGGAATCATGTAAAGGTAGGTAGGGAGGGTGTGCTCTAGTGATGGAACCAACTTCTGGCTTTTGGGCTTCTACATGAATGATGTTCTTTTTTCCTTTGAGATGGGGTCTGACTGTTGCCTAGGCTGGTCTTGAACTAGGCTCAAGCAGTCTTGCCTCAGCTTCCCTCCCAGGTCCTAGAGCTGCAGGACTTACAGCTACCACAGTAGGCTATATATCAGTGACTTTGTATCTGTGTGCAGAAACCTCTGCTGGGGTGACCAAAGTGGGGGACATCAGCCCTGTCCCCATCAAGCTAAGACTATTCTGCTTTAGCCTGCTTTTATATTGGGCTGAAGTTGAAGATTCTGTTTGAAGAATTTTGTTATGACTTGTTGAAACTGGTGGGTTAAAAACAAGTTTGAAATTTTCCTCCAGGGCCTGGCAGAAATGGGCAAGTAGGTGAGGCACCCTGGGGTGCATTAGGGAATCCCTCCCCTTCCCAGGTGGTCTTGGCTGGGCCCAGCATACCCAGAACCCCTGGCTTCCAAGATAAGCCAAAAAAGGTGATTATTAAGTAGCTTTTCCTGATTTATTGATTTATTTGGTAGGGGGACTGAAGCTAGGACCTTCGCACCTAGTTACAACCTCAGACCTTTCTTAAAATTTCGAGACAGGTCTCACTGAGTTGTTCAGTTGTGCATGTTGGACTTCTGCTTTCGATAATCCTGCCTCAGCCTCCCTGAGTGTTGGCATTACAGATGTGCACCACCACACCTGGCTCCATTTCCTCATTTCTTAATGTGGCAACTCACTTTAAAATTTTGCTGTCTCATCTGCAAACCAGACTGGGCCCACTGGGTGCCTGCTGGTGACCTCTTTGTAGAGGAGGCCACAGAGCTTCCATCAGGGCCTGTGGTTGTGAGTGCTGAGAGCCTGGTTCATTTCTTCCGTGGGAGCAGTTGTTGCGTGAGACTACAGTGCTGCCAGCCTGGCCCAGGGGGCAGCATCCAGGATGCCCCAGGCCTCCATCTCCTGAGTGACGTGAGTGAGCCCTGACCCTAGCATACTGGCCTGACTCATAACAGGTGCCATGATCTGAGTCCCCTCCACTCTAAGGTGGACAAGCTCTGGCCTTGAAGCAGGCTATGCCTGCTAGAGGGCCCCTGGGGCATCCATCAGGTCTTGGGGAGACTTGGGTAGGGTACCATCTGTCCTTTCAGTTTCCTGGTCAGAGGCAGCTGATCCTCCCCACCAGGCCCAAGCCATGCAGGTTCTAGTGAGGACTGCATAGCGCCAGCTCAGGAGCAGTTACCAGGAGGTGCAGCCCAGCCCTAGGAGAATGTGCACGGCCTTGGCAGGAGGCCCAGGTTTGGCTGCCCTGGTTTCCTGGGGAGAGGCATGCGTGGTTATAGACACAGCCAGAGCCAAGCTAGAAGGACAGGGTGACCAGAGTCTAGGGGGAGGGGTGCACAGGGATAAGACTGGGGAGAAGGGATCAGCTCCAAGGCCCCACACCCCTGAGGCCCTTTAGGGCTTGCTGCCAGCCTGGACTTAGTACCCTAAGGCCTGAAAGTAGCTTACTGTGTGATAAGTAATAATAATTTTTTAAAAAAACATTAAAAAGTAGAGTCCCAAGTAGAAAACTGAGGTCAAAAGTAGGAGGGGAATTCAGATACATCAGCTTAAACTGTTGACAAAGAGATTATGATAGAGCTTTGCATTTGGCTAGGAGCTCCCTGGCAGCTGGATTGAGAGGAGAAACAGGATTTCTGTAATTCCTGCTAAGGCAAAGGAGCAGTCAGTCATTCAACACAGCAACACTGAATTCCAGGTGTGTGCTGAGCACCGAGAGGAACGCAACAGCAGGCTTCCCTGCTTCATGGATTTGCATTTTAGTTGTAGATAATGGAAAATACAGCAGCCATAGAAGAACATTTCTGGCAGTGCCAGGGGTGAAGAACCACAGGTGACCAGGAAAAGGACAGAAACTGCGCTAGGGCATGGTGTAGCTAGGGGTAGGGCATGTGGTTGTGCATGTTGGAAAGAGTCTGGTTTTGTTCCCGGTATGGTAAGCCTTCACAACTGCCCGTGGTGGGTGAGATCTGGAGTTGGTCCCACTGAGGGTGGTGGGAGAGTCAGGATCCAGTGAGCGCGAGGCTGCCTTCTGGATGTTGGGGAACCGGAATAGGACAACAGAGACCTGGCCCCTTCCTGGAGCTGGAGTCTCGGGGAGGGAGAGAAGGAACTGCAGTGATGTCCTGCTACAGGGTGTAGGAGGGAAGGAGGCCGTGGAGAAGCGCTAGGGGGACAGCAGCTACAGCCAGCTCACTGAGCCTTGAGCAAAGGTGAGGCGAGAGCCCAGGCCGGAAGGGGTGTGGACATCAGAGAAGGGGGCAGTCAGAGCAGAAGGCGCTGCCTTGCAAAGGCCCGGGGCAGCAGTGTCTCCTGTGTTAGGGATTCAGACCCTAGCACGACAGGGCCTGGAGACCAGAAGTCCCAGGAGAGACTTGGGGGGACTGGGATAAGAGCCCTGGGTCTCTGCCTCTGACTTACATCTGTTTTCAGTTATTTGAGATTTAAACTAAGAAGCAGAATTGCTGGGTTATGTGATAATTTCTTCTAAAGAATCACCAAAGTGATTCTCAGAGTCTGCATTATTCCCATTGACATTATACCAGGGTCCCAACTCTTCACACCTTTGTCATCTCTTGTTATTTTATTTTTGTTAAATAAATGTGCCCAGTGATGTGATGTGAAGTAGTTTCTTGGAATTTTCATTTGCATTTCTGTAATAGCAGTAACACAGCACAGAGCTGGCCTGATAGCTCAGCGGACTAAAGCTACTGCTTAGGCAGAGCGCAGCAGCCGGGTTCTATCACGGTGTACCCTGCGGGCCCTGCCCCTGGGGCACGCTGAGATGGCGATGGAGACTGGGTGTGGTGGCACGTGCCTGTAATCCCAGTGCTTGGGAGGCTGAAAACAGGAGATTCACTACGAGTCCAATCTATGTAGTGAGACCCTGTAGACCCTGTCCTAAATACAGAAAAGAAAAAAAGAAAGAAAGAAAGAAAGAAAGAAAGAAAGAAAGAAAGAAAGAAAGAAAGAAAGACAACAATAACAACAAAAAGCAGCACTTTTTTGGAGGGTGGGAAGGCTTGTTGATGATTCACATATCTTTGAAGAAATGTCTGTAAGTCCTTTGCCTATTTGAAGAATTGGATCATCTTTTTATTGTTAAGTTGTGAGAGTTTTTTTATGTGTTATGGCTGTTGCATGACTTGCAAATATCTTCTCTCATTCTGTGAGCTGTCTTTGTATACATCTGATGATGTTCTTTGATAAGCAAATTTCAAAAACTGCTGAAACTGAGCTCTTTTTTCTTTTGTTGTTTGTACTTTTAGTGTTATATTTAGAAGTTCATTTCTAATTTTAATTTCATGACTATTTATTCCTTTTTTTAAAAATTATTTTTTATTTTTCATTTGTAGGGAAGAGTCTATAGGGTATTCAGGGTCTCGCTACTAGATTGGACTCATAGTGAGCCACATGTTTATCGCCTCCCAAGAGCTGGGATGACAGGCATGTGCCACCACACCCAGTCTACATGACTATTCCTATGTATTTTTTAAAAGAGTTTTATAGTTTTAGCTGATACTTAGGTCTTGATAGAGTTTGAGTTAATTTTTGTGCATGGTGTAAGAGGGCAGTTTTTTTCCCTTCTTTTTTCCCCCCAGTATCGGAGATAGAACCCAGGGCCTTCAGCTGAGCTCCAGCACTCTCCCTCTCCATCTTCTTCTCCCTCTCCCTCTCCCTCTCCCTCTCCCCCTCCCCCTCTCCCTCTCTCCCCTACCCCCCCTTTTACTCGCTAAGTTTCCCAGGCTGGGCTGGAACTCTAGCTCCTTCTGCTTCAGCCTCCCAGAGTGCTGAGATTGTAGGCTCCACCTTCATTCTTTTGCATGTGGATGTTTAGTCCTCCCCGCACCCCTTCTTAAAGACACCCCCACCCCTTTTAAGCAGTGCTGCACATGGACTGCAGGGCCCTCCATATCCCAGACAAGTGCTCTGCCACTGAGATACACCCAGTCCTGTTTTTCATCAAATAGTCTTAGTATTCTTGTAGGAAGTCACCGATCACAGAGATCTGAATTTATTGGTAGAGTTATAGTTTTCACTTGGTAGATATTTGTGTTGATTTGTCGATTCCACATTGCTTTAGTTACTGTAGCTTTGTACTGAATTTTTTTTTTTGTACTGAATTTTGAAATTCAGAAATATGAGTATTCTGACTTCAGTTTTCTTTTTAAATATTATTTTGACTGTTTTGGGTCCCTATGATATTTTTAGTTTTAGAGAGGGCCACTGGAATTTTTGACAAAGATTGCATCCATACTTACTGCAGATCTTTTGGGGGAATACTACATTCTAGTCCATGAACATGGGATGTCTTTTCATTTAGTTAGATCTTCTTTACTTTAATTTCAGCCACATTTTGTAGTTTCCTAGGGACAAATCTTACCTCTTGTGATTCAGTTCATTCCTAAGTATTCTTATTCTTTCTGCTGCTACATAATGGAATTGCCTTTAATTTCCTTTTCAGCTTGCTTGTTTCTAGTGCATAGAAATACAACTGCTCTTTCTGTGCTGGTCGTGCAGCCTGTGATGTGGCTGAGTTCGCCTCTTAGCTGGCATCACTGTGTGTGCGTGTTCTGAGGATCATCTGTGTATAGTGTCATGTCATCTGTGAAGACAGGTAGATTGCACTTCTTTCCAGTTTGATGCCTTGTGTTTCTGTGTCTGTCCGATTACTGACCAGAACTTCCAGCACTATGCTGAGTGGAGGTTTCTGGGCAAGCAGCTTTGTGGGACTCCTCATCTGAAGTGGAAGCATTTGAGAGTAATGTTGATGTTTCTTTCTGTTTTTAACCTCCTTTGCCATGCCATGAGAGAATCCTCTACTCTTGCTAGTTTGCTGAGTGAGTTTTATTCTGGAAGGATGTAGGTTTTCTTTTCTCTTCTCTTCTTCTTCTTCTTCTTCTTCTTCTTCTTCTTCTTCTTCTTCTTCTTCTTCTTCTTCTTCTTCTTCTTCTTCTTCTTCTTCTTC